CACACACACACACACACACACACACACACACACACACTACCGGGTCTGAGCGCTGAAACTTTCCGAAATCACAAAAGAGTTCCCCTACCGGGTCTGTATACTTCGTGACTTTGTTCCCGGTTACCGGGTCTGCATACACTTCGTTTAAAATTACCCTCGGTGTGTCTCATAGGGCAAACAAAGACATGCATCCTTTTGGCGTCTCGTTGGTCTTGTAATGTAAGTCTAATCTACCATGGACGAAGAGCTGTATAATAGTCACTGAGACCAAGATACTGGCCCCTACCCCTCTTTTTCCCAAAAGCAAATGAAATACAAAACCTTAGATCAAAAATAAAACAATATCAATAATACAGGCAAAACACAAAGACTCAAGTTATAGATAGGAAAAAAATAGACAGTGGAGAAGAGAACTTGCAAATCTGCACTTCTGATGACAAACTGAAAAAAAAAATTGTCTCTTTATATATAAAAGTACTTAACCATTCCTAGAGAAAACAATATTCTACTATTGTCAAATCAACAAGCCAACCCATTTACACAAAGACATAATAAAAAAAGGTAAAATATACAGAAAGGTAAAACGTCTTTGATGAAGTCAAGTATTTGAACATCTTTATTTTCAAAATGTGAAACTGACAGATTTATGACAAAGAGCAACGATTTTATTAAAAAAAAAAAAACAACAGAAAAAAAAACGGCCTGTGTGACTGAATAAAAATGACCAGTTAAAAATTGAACCATAAACTAAACTTAACATTCTTTTTCGTTCAAAACCAATTAAAAACACATCAAAACCAATTCATGTACATGTACACATTTAGACAACACTGTCTTCATACCTCTGACGAAGGTAATGCTTTACGGGGACCTAATTCATCAAATTCAGACCATACAGCTATTTTTTGTTTGTTGTTGTTGAGGAGACACATAACAACAATCTTGAGATGAGGGGCGATACTACACTCTTTCTGACCAAACACTCGCCCTTTCTACGAACGTTTCGCATCAAATAACGTATGAAATATCGCCCAAATCAGGCTGAAGGTATGAAATACGATGTAACGAAAAAGAAAAAGAAACATCAACGTGTCAATGCGAAGATGGGCTATGTACAGTGTTGAGATGTATCCTTTTTGTCACATCGCTGGCTGAGATGAGCTGAGGAAGACAAAATATAGAAATAAGAAACAGGTAACCTTAACCACAAATACTGAATTATTTATTTTTTTTTATGAAAAAAAAATTTATTTTT